CATTAGGTATAAAACCATTGTGTGAAAAAAATTATGTGAACCGTCGTGTTACCGGCTCAAAAGGGACTAGCAGTGGGCAGGTGCGAGCGGGTAGGGGTGAGGGGGGGGGGCACTCTTTTCTTTGTGCAGCAGGCACAGAGTGTTGCGACTATTGCCGGACAAGCGGGCGGGCGGCTAACCCAAGGTCGCCAAGGCCGGGCGAATGTGAACCGTGACAAATGGCAAAGTATCTCGAAGATCGGTCTGTTGACACGGATATATGTATAATTGACAAGCAGTAAATAACAGGGTCTTTCTCCTCGCCCTCGCCGCCTTGCTTGCACAGGCCTGCACGGAACCCAGATGAGCCGACACAATACCGTCTTTCCAGCCCCCTTTCCTTCATTCCTCTGAATGCCGCTCTAGCCGCAGACCCCAGATACCACATTTGCAACAGAATGTGGATAAACAGGAAAGAAATCTCATACTTTTTAAAAGTTCTACTGGGCAAAAAGAACTGTAAGTAAAATTCGTTACAGTTTCAGAAAAAAATGTAACTAGTTACAGTTATTTAGTTTGAAAATGAAACTAGTCACAGTTTCAGTTGATGCAAATTGTAACTAGTTACAGTTACAGTAACTAGTTTAGTTAAATTTTTTACCATCCCTGATAAATAACCACAAATGTCGAGCTTCAGAAGGGTAACCAGCAGAGAGGGTGTACCACAGTTTAAAGCAAACGTCTAACTGTTGCTCAATATTGTCAAAATCCCAACGCAGATTGTCAAGCATTAGAAAACATTGTCTGATGTTCAGGGGGCCAACAACGAGAGTCAACTGCAAGGGGTTTCAAAAAGGACAAGTCTGTTTCTCCTCTCAGCTATCCTGTACTTAACTTGGCCAATCTCCTGAAAATCAGTAAAGTTTTAGCAATTATCTCATTTTACATTCACTTTAGAACAAGGTACATGTACGCCAGACCACGTCTCGCGTAACAGGCTTCGCGATATCTCACGAAACACTGTTATGCTGCGACGCGCCTGGCATACATCTACCTTGGTCTGCAGCGCTGACACCCGAGTCGTGTAGTGTAAAAATGTACAGAAAGATACGGGCCCCGGCCCGTCACTTCGACTAAGCATGCAGGGTTGTACATTTTTCCGCTTATTTTCACCAAAAATACCCTCTAGCGACTCAACGGTGTGAGCTAGAGCAAACCGGACAAAATTTTCGTCCATAGGACTCTACTATGACGAGTTACCGACGAGGAAACCTTAAGGGTACGCGGGAGACAATTTCGCCTCTGTGCCGCCCTATGCTGGTAATGTTAATTTCGTTCCAATATTGCCATAAAACTATGTGTGCTACAGACTTGCGGTTTTTTGCATCTTGTAGTACTTTTTAAGATCTACTTCCCCATTTGAAAACATCCACAAGATTGTACCCCAATAGGCCAATATTTGGACCAAAAGTTTGCATTTTTCTGACCATTTTACACAGCTTGCTTTGCCGACCTCTGGCAGCCTTCCCGTTGGGACAATTTCAAAAACTAAAAAACTGGGAAGTAGAGGAAAGTTTATAGATTGTACTTCCGCCAGACGCATGCTTATCGGAGTGGTAGTTTAGGCTGAATATTGGAACGAAAATGGCATTAAACCGGTATATCAAACCGCTATACCCCACGTTTTGGCCGGGGAGGGCGAGCTAGGCGAGCTGGCCGGCCGGTAACTGATTTATGACAGGTGCGCCGAGCGAGCGGAGGTGCATTGTATGAGTGACATTGTCTCCTCCCGCCGCGAGCATCTTTCTCTCTCGCACTCGGGCGGGCGGGCGGCTAGCCGAGGTGGCGGGGAGGGGAGGTCGAGCACGCTGGACGGTCTGTGACACAATGGCGACGCGCTGGACAGCGCTTGACAGTTTAGGCGATACTCTTGTAGTCGGAATCCTAGTGCAACCCCGATTTGTCTCCCGCGTACCCTTAAGAAGATATTTTCAAAAATCGTCATTTTTCGGACCCGTTGTTTTTGATGTTTAAAAAATCTAGTTTTTGAGCTAGAATGCTCATTTTTGAACTCGATCTGTCTTTTTGTAACACAAAACGACCCTGAAAATCCCAGGTCGTTAGCTCAATCCGTTCCCGAGTTATCGTGCGGACAGACACACAGATACACTGACAGAAAGACAGAAAAAGTTTTTTCCGACTAGACGGAGTGATAGGCTTCGCTAATCGCTCATAGCCAAAAACTTTTAAACCAGTAGACTAGCTATACGTACGCTAGACCACGCCTCGCGTAACAGGCTTCGCGATCTCACGAAACACTGTTTCGCTGCGAGGCGCCTGGCGCACATGTAGCTGGGCTTGCGGCGCTGACACCCAAGACAAGTTAATTGGAGGGTATTCGGGATCAGGGCCCGGCCTCAAAATTTGACATACCCACAGCATTCGTCGGCTAGTTATTACTTTAAAATTAGGGAAACGAAACTTCTACTGTTCGGTAAACGTATTCATTAAAAGGTCGAATTTCGACATATTATGTAAAATCAACGTTTTGATGATACTAGATAATCTAGAGACCCTTGAGCCCAAAGGAAGGTGTGGTTCGACGTCAACTGTGCAGTTGAAGTATAACTTCCCGTACAATTTGTCAATATGAGGCTTTTTTAACGATTTAATAGACCATTTGGTCATTTTCATCTTGTTTTGGCCAAGAAATGCCCCCTAGCACCCAAACGGTACAAGATAGAGCAAAACAGACGAAATTTTCGGCCGAAGGCTATATTTCAACGAGTCACCCCTCAAGAGCCCATAAAAAACTATTTCAAAAAAAAATATATATTTTGCGACCTGTGGTTTTGATTTTTTTGAAAGTCAATTTTTTTAGCTAGGAAGCTCATCTTCGAACTCGATCTGTCTTATTATGATACAAAACGACCCTGAAATTCCCAGATCGCTCTCTCAATTCTTTCTCGAGTTATTGTGCAGACAAACAAACAGACAGACAAACAGAATGAAACTTTTCCGGTAAGTGGAGTAGTGGGCTTCGCTAATGGCTCAGCCAAAAACTTACAGTGACATGAAGCATAACGGCATCTTGCACTTCAGGACGAGATGGCCGCCAAACTTGTTTTGACTTTGGAAGTGACCTTACTTTAAAAATGTAAGAGAAGTGTTTCCATGCTGTAGCAAACCTTTTCTCTGTGGAGAAAGAGAAAACAAACAAATATTAAATAATATATACACTATGAATTAATTTAAAGAATTTGTTGGAAAATGAGTATTCCTTGGTGCTTGCAGTTAAAGCAAATTATGTTTCTAAACACAATTAAGTTTAAAGTAGCAACAACTTATTGAGATAGTAATATATGCAAATTTTCAAGTGTGGTGCAACAATAAATCAATATAAGAAGTATTACCACAAGTTAAAAGTACTAGGAATATACGATCAATTAAATAACTAACATCACATCAGAGAAATGAAAATAAAAAAACATTGAGACAGGATCTGAAGCTTTGCACTCAAACTCTCTCCAGCTCCTCTACTTCAATTTTTAATTAAAATTCAGACTGTTCTCAATAGTTTATATTTTAATAAAAATGAAAAAGAGGCCCAGTATCCCATTGCCTGTTCATTTCTCTTCAGAATGTGCCCTCGCCCAGGTTTCCTAGTCAAATAGTTCCGAAGAAAGTTGCGCACAAGATGCGAAAGTGGAAATGTCCTAGAAGCAAGAACTCTTCAAACCCAATCAACTCTCAATGACACTATGGATCTCTCTGTTTTATAAACCATCACAAAGTCGAACTACTGAAGGGAAACCTCACATGGTCCAAATGTAGTCAATTTTACATTCTTTTAACAATAAGTAAAAAGATATAAACGAGTATTAGTTTCAGATGTTGCGTATTCTTTTCACAGCAACCGTACTCATCTTACAAATGGAAAAAAGTTAAAAGAATGGCCTACCTCACTGATAGATGCTGTGCATGCCGCTTTTAACTGCTGTTCTGACATCGGTGAGTTATTGGCAACAGCTTGCTTTAGCTCTTCCAGTGCATTGTCTAACAGTGGTTTGAGCTGTGGAAGAGATTATAAAGTATGTTTTATGGTTCATAACTAACAACAATTTTTATGAGATGGTTTTTGTAAGACATGTGAACTTAAAAGAGAGTCCTACCTCAGTGAAAGCTGTAGTACATGCTGCATTGCTGCAAGCATGTCATCCTTGTTAATGGCACTATTTTCACCAAACCTTTCACTTCAAGCTTTAACTGAAAGGTACAATCAAGTACTAGTTGTAAAAGTTTGATATTCTTTTCTCAGAAGATTTTAATTTGAAAACACATCACAGCAACCGTACCTTTCCCAAGGAGGACAAAATATCATGGTTAGGCTAAATGATACAAAAGCAAAGGATATAAGTTGGAAATTCAATGACAATATTGAGATAGTAATGCAGATAGGGTGGGAGGGCTGAATAGAAACTCATCTTACAAATGGAACAAAGTTAAAAGAATGGGCTATATCACTGATAGATGCTGTGCATGCCGCTTTTAACTGCTGTTCTGACATCGGTGACTTGTTGGCAACAGCTTGCTTTAGCTCTTCCAGTGCATTGTCAAACTGTGGTTTGAGCTGTGAAAGAAATAAAAAGACTCTTTTAAATTCTTTGGGGTTGACAGGAGAGCCTTGTTAACAAGGACATTGCTCATGCACCATTGCACATTCACATTGCACTCCAGCTCCAGCCATGTTGAAAACAGGAAATAAACCTCACTTTCGTCTTGGACCTAGAACTGTGCACTTCGTTGTTTTTCCTCGCTCCTGATTTTATCCTAACACATCGACCATACTACCTACTAATTTACAACACTGTTGTAAATTAGTAGGTAGTATGGTCGATGTGTTAGGATAAAATCAGGAGCGAGGCCAGACTGGCCCACTTAAACGTTATAGTGTTACAAACTTGACCTAACTAATAATAATCGCACTTATTGAACACTTCCTCCCCAAACTGAGATGGCATTGTACATGGGCCATCAAGTAATGTTGACGTATCCCCTTTTGGCAGCCAAAATTTTGAAATCGGATCAGATGCTCCACTTTCCACATCTTGCGTTCAACTTTTCTGCGTAAATTTTTGACTAAGAAACCTGGGCGATGGCACAGTTGAAAAAGAAATGAGCAGGTAAAGGGATACCAGACCAGGCACCTTTTTATTTGTATTAAAATATAAAC